AGCAGCAGGCGGAAACGCCCATGGGAGCTTCAGTCGTTCCTGATGCTCGGCATTTCAAGAAGTTTATTGATGCGGAGCAGAGGGTTATTGGTTCGTATTCGACTGGTCAAGTTGAACATCAGTTATGCTGATTTATCCTGGATTCCTTTCGTTATTCCATGATAGCAATGTTGCCCGCCGAAGTTTCAGACATGGGCATAGGGATGGACCTTGAATCGCCCAATGTAACTTGTTGTTCTTGCGAGAGTCATGTCGGTCCCCAGCTGATGCCAAGTAATGAATGATTCTTGTGAAACATCATGGATCGTATCACGAAAGCTTAGCCCAAATTAATGTCCAAATTAATGTGGACCATCACCAGTGAGTTCTCCTAAGCTGCCGTTATGATTTGGACGATGCCCTTGTTGCTGCTCCTGCTCTTGTCCTTGTTGCTGGCGCTGGTCCTGTTGATACTCATCTCTCTGCTCAGGTTGGTCTTCTCGGCCCCATTCATTCCAGGTCCAGGTAATAGCACAACCAACCAGGATCCATCTTGAGAGAAAACTCCACAAAGCCGCCCGCCATAGCAATGCTCTCTGCCACCTCGGCCGCTTCCAAACACCAGCAGTTGTCAAGATGGTGGCAAGGAGAAGGAACGGGCCGACTTCGCATGACAATAGCAAGGCTCTCTGCAAGTTGGGGTATGTCCTCCCAAATGCCGTGGTTCTAGCATCGTCATGACCGCCGGGTTGTCTTCGTTGAGGTGGCATGTTGATTTAATATTTGTGCGAGTGGGTCGATATGGGTCCGAGCTATCTCGGAGATGACGAGGGTTTACCAGGAGTCCAGCTGACAATCTTTGCTAGAGACGACCGCCGCCGGTCCGCAGTTCACGCGTTCTCTGAATTGATGATCGGCTTCTTCGATCGGATGTCGGTCCCAGAGCACAACAGGAACTCGTGTTCATGGAATGACGACAGTTCAGGCCCAGGCGTGAGGAGAAGGGCTGATCTCGAAGCTCGACTTCACGTCTCTGATTTATTTGAAATCATGCGACGCTCAATGACGAGGAGGAGACTTGTGGAAGATGTTGCAGCGTTGATGAGGCTATCCAGCTTGAAAGGTATTCTTTGTCGCTCCAGATGAACCAGGTCACACAAGGGAACCAATATCAATGCAGAGGCAATTGGGTGAGAGAAACGGAAGAAATTATTGGAGGAGGTTATTGCAATGAAGGAGAGAGAAGTGATTCGCAAATTTGCCAGTGGTCGGATGATATGAGGGAAGCAACGATTGGCACACGAGCAATATGTTCAAACGACCATGATCGAGCGAGGCGAGGTCGTTGTCCAAAGTTTACTGGGTTTGCCAGGTTTGCCAGGTTTGCTAGGTTTGCCATATTTGTGGGGTTTATGAAAGCTTGCCCCCTCTGCTTATGTCACGAAATTAGCGAATCAGCTTTCGCTGCTGGTTGGGTAGACTGAGCACATCCAGCTCGCGAGCATTCTCAAATACATTCTTGTTTATCATGTGGACAAAAGAACCTGGTCACAAAAGCAATAACCCCGACAAAGTCTAATCTATGTAGCGAATGATCCGGCAAAACAAGAAAAGAAAACAACTTTCTCCTCTACTTCCTATCACCATCCGAACCCCTCCTCAATCAAGTCCAGATTCACTCCAGCATCAAGCATCACTCGGGATGCGCGTCTCACTTCATCTGCCAGCCCTCCACCAGCGCAAACACTCACTCCCATGCAGCCGACCTTTTGCCTGGCCTCGTTCGCAAGGAGGGCTTCCACGTCCGGTCTGCCTCGCGCCATTTGAACGTGTTCGCTTGGACTTCGGATGGCCTGGCTGAGGGTGACTCGAGTGACATACAACAGAACTTTGAGCACCTCTCTCCGGCCTTCCATGGCCAAGATCTCGTGCATCCACGGCCGGATCCAATCTAGACATTCTGTGGTCGGTATGACCCACACAAGGGTCACCCGCTTCGCCGCGACAGTTCCGTGACCGTATCCTTCGACCAGCTCTTTGACATATCCGAGTTGATGCGTGATGCCCACACCGCTTGCAAAGAGGACCACCGTCCCATAGCTTGACAGACTGCGCCCGGTGCCATAAGGTCCTTCGATTAACGCAGCGAGCTGCAGACCTGCACCAGCAGTCATTGCACGTTGCCAGAGTCTGTACGTCAGGCCGGTTCTTTTTTTGACAATCAAAGACAATGTTTCTTCTCCTCGTTTCTCGAAGTCTTTGGAGTATATGTGAATCGCAGGTTTCTCTTCGCTGAAATTTGATCTGAGCGTAGATGATCGACTCAACGGATCTTCGACGCCGCACCATGCGACGGAAAAGGGGTGCGCTGTCCACAGCCCGATTGACGGGATTGTCAAGTACAGCGATTGACCGGGCCTATAAGCCCAAGGCCTTGGGCTTGTCAGTGTGATTTTCACTGCGCCACCGTTGAGGGGCTCAACCTTGGCCTTGGTGCCACCTCTTCCAACATTCCTGTAGACCAATGTCGCAAATCTAAGAGACCTTGCCGCGGCCCAAATGATGGTTGCCCCAAGCAACAATCCTCTCTGAGGTAAACTCTCAAGGTGTCTCCACAGGAATACCAGAACCAACACCACAAGAGCGATATGCAGGTGCAAGAAGAATTCGTAAGCCAAGTTCCTGATCACCTTCGGACTTGACAACAAGATGAGTACGAGGCTGGTAGCGGCAGTCAAGCCACTGTAGAGGAAAGGACTCTCCAATGATATCTTCACCGCAGCCCAGCCGCTTGAGTCCACTTTTGCAATAAGCCAGCACAGAACATGAATAATAACTTCGCAGATAGTCAGACGGCCAAGCCAACGGTGCATCAGGTTGAAGGTATCGTATGAAATGCTCAGCATTGATATCAACGGATTCTTCACCGTGGCCATGACCGTTATTGGGATCAGGTTGGTCACCGCCAGGGTCCCGGTTCGGTTTCGCAGGATAGGCAATACCTGCTGCTCAGGCTTCGACCATGGTATGTCCCAGATGCAGAGGAAGAGATTGGTAATGGCAACTGAGAATATAAATAGAGCTTGAAATCGTGTTGGAACAGTTCCGAAGGTGATATGTCGAGAAAACCTGATCTCTCGTGCTCGACGATAGTAGAGGATTGGCGCGTATAGGATCTTGGCCTTGGCCAGATTGCTGGCAGGCGAAGATTTGGAAAAGTACCGAAGAGCACCTGCACCAGCCATGCATGCCAGGTGTCGAAAGTGTCCATTAAGTCGTAAGGTCAGTGAATAGGCAAGAACCAGGGCAATAAAACCCAGCATCGCCCAAAGGTAAGAGTGCCCGATGAGCATATTGAGTCCTTCCAGGTAGATTTGAGCGACATCATTCTGATAATGTGAATCCCAGGCGGCTGTTGAGCTGCCCGCCGTAGCCGCAGCCTGAGCAGCTGCAACTATAGCTGCCATCGCAAAGGGATATAAAAAACACCTTTCAGAAGGAAGCAACAACCTCAGAGGTAAGAATAGAAAGTAAAGGACAAGTCCAGCTCGTCAAGCGGTCAGGCGGTCAGACAGACGCGGGTCACCCTTGGTAACTGATAATGCAAGGTATCCCAGACGATCATTGGGAAGGGGTGATATAAGAGAGGCGTTAATAGTCGAGATGATGAAGAGAACGAAAATGCCAAGGGTCAGCCTCAGGACCTGGGCTGCAGTCACTTTGATATTCAAATCACCGAGATCTCGAGATTTGGCGAGATGACGAATCCACAGACCCATGGGGAACCGACCTGGTGTGAAAAGGAGCTCTCATAGGCAGGTAGGGTGAACTTCCTTTATCTATATCAGGGCGGGGCCGATGGGGTTCACGTAATTTCGATCGGTATCTGAGGTCATAGCTTGCCACTATTAATATTGAAGGAATGTCCGGCGTTGTACAGCGACAAGGCCCAGAGAAGCGGGTGGGCAATCATGGTAGGGCATAAGGGAGCAAGAAAAGGTGACACGGCGAAATAGAGAAACCAGGATCCCGACGGCAAATTCCATGGCTTTGGAAGACGTTGTGAAGGCATGCGCCAAAATCCTCGCCTCAAGCGAGAATGTGGAGCAAAAGATATAAATCCAATGGCCTGTCGTTGCAGACTGAATGAGTTAGAGCTGATTTCCATATCGAGGAGAGCAGGGAGAAGGGAGAATGGCAAGTGGCAACGTGGTTTACAGAAGGCGAGGGGGATGCGGGCGGGTGCCTGCCAAGCCACTCTGGCGCTTTTCCGATTGGTGGATCTGGGGTCGGACTTGGTCGGACCAATCTCAAGCGGACCGGCATGCTAGTCGCGATAATAACAATCGCCAATCGTCCTCCCGCTCCGGCCGTTCTCCTGCTCGCCGGATCCTGAAACAGTAGTTCCGCCGACTGCCCGTTATCGTTCTAATCTGTATCAGCCATGAGTTTTTCTATTTCCGTGCTGTGTATCGTGGCCCTGGCTGGCCTCGGCCGGAGCACTTTTAGAATCTCTCAAGGAGCTCTGTTTGCCTGGTTCGCCATCAACGGAGCTCCGGCTGAATGGATGCTTGGTTTGTGCGTCATGGAAACATTCCAGGCTCGGATGAGAAAATCCCTGGGAGGATGCAGTGCAACGACAAAACGCGCCACGGTCTTGGTGATAAATTCTCGTTCTCTGCAAGGGGCGGTAAAACCTCATAACCTTTGGGGGCCACAATGAGCTTCAGTTATGTCTCCCTATGTGGCATGATACTTACTCGGCCACTATCCTAACAACCTTGGTTCGTCCTCGGATACATCTTCGAGGTAGTGATTTGCCGACCGTGCACTCGGAATATGGCAGTGGCGGCAGTTGCTGGAGGGTTTGACCGCAACAGCTCTTTGCGCATTCTGCGCGTGACCCTTTTGTGTTCGAAATCTCCATCCGTACGTACCTCAACGTCGTCACTAAAACGCCTCCTCTTCAATTCATTTCCAGCCTTTGGGGTCCAATTGATAGGAGATGGTAGAAGGCTTGGTTAATAGACAACCGGAGTGTCCGCAATCCATTCCTCTACACTTTCATGCCTGCAATATCGGGCGACAAATTGTACTTCGTGCCACGCAATCATGTTTTCCATGTGTTCTCCTGCTGTATCGTGGAAGTCCGAAGCCCATGGCAAGACAGCCGGGTCCTCAGGATGTTCGGCCGCGTATTCCATGGTTCTATCGTCGCCAAGTTCAGCAAGCAAGACGCGTACTTTCTGCAACTTGTCGCCATTTATAGACAATAGCTGCACCGCCGGCCGCTTAAAGTCACTCCAGGATAGTCCAAGTATCAAGATGACATCCCCTAAATCTACTGAGATGTCGCGGGGGAAAGGCGTTGGGCGCAAGAGGGACTCGGGGCTTCGTAGTTAATCAGGCGGTATGTCATGATCACCTGCCAAGAGATGGCATAGTTTTGCAAAGAAAATATGAGCAACAAGCGACTGCTAGAGTTTTGATAATTGCCATATTCGGCCAAGGTCAGCCTGAAATTTGAGCCACAGTTGAAATCCTGTCAAACATAATAGGGAGTGCTCCAGATTCAGTAGCGCGGGCTTGAATGATCATGGGACAGCAGGTCGCAGAGAGCAGTCTCCAGAGGGACTCGATCATATAACAGGCAGAACTGGCAGCATATTGCAGAGTTTGCAGGCAACGGTGAAAAATGTCAGATGCGTGCATCTCGTGAAGCGAGACATCAGATGTAGAGGATTTTGTCTTGTTTTCAGAGCACGTGAAGTCCATATCTCGCCGAGGGGATGTTCCCACGAGACTGACACCAGGCAGGTTATGAAACCTGATATCTGAGTCAGCGGAATAGAAGGAGGCCTCAACTAGAACCTCCGTCACGGCTTCGACAGGGTCTATGGCAGGGGGCGCGAAGAATAAGCTCCCTCGCGGTCCGTCCGAGTATCGCACCGCTTTCAATTAGGCGTCCAATCACGAAAATGCCATATACTACTGTCAACACCCGTAGTTGAGACCATCGTCTTCTTGAAAACCCCCAAAAGTTCTCGAGCTCTTGAAAACGAGAGCCAATGATATCATGTTGACCATCATATCCATTTTTGGTTGCATCATTATGCTTCTGCTTCTCGATCGTCGTCCTCGATAGTTTGACTAGACACATGTGCGGCAAGGACTTTGCCCTTCGATAGGAGTCTCTCGTCGTTTTTAAACTCCAATCATCCGAACAAAAAGGGTTCTCCGGGCCGGAAGTTGCAACTAGGAACTCCGGAATGATTCTGAGCATCCTGAATGATGGCTTCGTAATCTAGTGTCTGGGCCCTGATTCATCTGCAATGGCTGTGGCTTTGCCGTCATTTCGTCGGATGCTGGTTACCTCTAAAGTCCTTCCGATGTCCGGGTGGTAACGGATGACAATGTTGCGCTGTGTCAATTCCGTTGAGCAGGGTTTGCGCGGTCGCTTGGGTGTAGGAGTTCGCGCCGCCTTTTTTGTACGCGCTTTACTTTTCTTCTGTGCTCTCTGTCCTTTTTTTTTTTTTAGAAACATCGTGGGCTACGCAAGTTGGCTGTTCCTCAACGCCGTCCAAGATTTATTGCGCTTCTAATGCGCTCAGGAAGGCCTTGTGCCATTGTTCAAGTCTGGCCACGAAAAGCTTTCGTGGTCAAAGGACGCTGAGCCATCTGGAAGCGGTCCAGGGAGTTGGAGTCGGGCCGCAGGACCACCGTCCTTAGGAGAGACACGCGTCATTCGGACAAGCACAAGGTCAACTCGGTTAGAGGGAATCTACGATAGGTGGGCGGGGGAAGGGGGGGGGGGGGGGGGGGGGGGTGTAGGGACAACCCTGTGTTTTACACACTTCAACATATTACTGTCCTTGCTGCCCACCTCAAAAGGAGCAGGAGATTCTTGATCGTCAACAGAGAGAGTGGTGCGGGTGTACGAGATCTTATCCACACTAAAGCAAGATTACATACATCATGAGCGCGATCACACCTCGCCCGCGCCGTGTTCGACCTGGTACACCAACTTCTTGCCCCTGGACTGACCATGCCGGAGCCGGTTGAGACCCTCTGATACGCCGTTCAGACCTCCTGGAATGATCTCGTATGGGTGACCCGAGTATATGCCCTGTCTCAGTGCGTCTTCAAGCCAGACGAAGAACCCCCTGGCGAAGTCAACGTCTCCTCGCGCATCTTCTGCTGAAGGTTGCTTGGGCATCCCTTGTCTGTATGAGCCCTCATGGCCTGTGCCAACAAAGGTGTAGACAATTTCCACATTCTTCGAAATGTCTTCATCGTCGTACCTTTTGGCGCCAGAAAAGACACTGAGTCTTCCCCCGTGAAGCATCTGACTGACATGGACCCAGCTTTTGTCATCGCTAAACGCATCAAGACCATGCACCAAAGTCAACCTTCGTTCATTTGAAATATTCTTAATCTCTTCCTTGAGTGTTTGCATGCCAGCTCTATAGTCGACAAACACATCGCGTGGAAGATCGAGCAGACCCTTCACATAATCGCCACTTCCTCCGCCGATAGCAATGATCGGCGTGACTCCAGCGAGCTTTGCAAGTTTGATAGCGTAAGTACCGAGAGATGTGGAAGCAGCATACACCAGCAATGGCTTCTGGTTCTTGATCTCTGCGTCTGGTTCCCATGGAGCGGTAAAGCCCTGTCTCCGAAACAGAGTCAGAGCAGCCGTTAGACTGACAAGTGGGATAGTACTGGCTTCTTCAAAGCTCATGGCCTCCGGAATGTGGAAGGTGGTGTGTTCTGGAGTGATGGCATATTGAGCATATGCCCCGTAAGGCTTGCCCATCGGGTGGAAAGCAGCGACTCGATCACCAGGACGAAATCTGGAGACCTCTGACCCTGTTGCCACGACAATGCCCGCCAGGTCATCTCCGGAATTGAGCGAAGTGCCCATGGCAACCAGATGAAGCCAGTCTTTTGGATTGGAGGCGACAGCAAATACTTTAATCAGCACCTCATTTGTCGATAGATATGTCGGTAACGGGATGGTGGAGATAGTAGTGGTGATTGGCTTTGTGGGATGAACGGTTGTCGAAAGTGTTACTAGTCCCGAAGGCATCTCTGATCTCGAGGTCATGTTGAGTGATGGATGTCCTCTGTGGTTGAAGAAAAGATATCTGGTGAGCGTGAACCCATTTGATCCTCAATCTACCACCGGCGTAATCTCTGGGTTATTATAACCCATCCGCTCATTAGGACAGTTGCGAACATATGATATGCGTTTACCAGGGCTTTGCGAGATCGCAGAACGCCGATGACTCCCAGTTCATACAGTCGGACAAAACTCCGAATCAGGCGCGGAATGTCTAGAGCATGTTACTCATATGCATTAAACGCCTTGGATGATTAATCATCCCTAGGCATAGTCCGGTCTACCATGTCATCCAGTTTCAATCACGGTTGAACAAAGATACAACTGAAGCAACGTTTGCATGAGGCTGACAAAGCTTGGTAGCACGTCGAAACGCCACTTAATAGGCCAAGAAATAAAAACCGCTCGCGGAATCGGGATGAGAGCGGCTCAACCCCTTGTGCACTGCTGATATTGCTGTAACGACGACTTGGATATACGCCTCAGATAATACACTGCATGAAGCGGGTATATTGGAATGTAGGAGAATACGGGCATACGGACTCAACCAAATGATCTTCCCCCCCCCCCCCCCCCCAATAATGTAGAACGCAGCGAAGATTTGTTGAGTTTCCCAGCAAGGGAAACGAGACAGGAACATTAACTTTCTAATATAAATCCATTCCTGTTCCTCGTGGTCTTCTCATCACCAAGGTCGAGCGGCCTGCTGTCAAGAATCTGATTCCTCGCATGCCGAGACAAGGGTAGTGCTCCTAAACCCTCCAGATCGGCAACGTGGTTTAACTCCTCGTTCCTAGTCGTGCGTACCACCGTCAAGAAGGACGTATCGTGGGCCACGCCGTTAACCAGCAGGGCGTAGGCTCCAACAACCAAGCAGACAAGAGCCATTCTGAACCAGCGCTGTATACCGCGATAATGGGCAGCCAGTCGACTTTCCAGACTGTCTCGCTGAGTGTTCTGTGGCAGGGTACGGTAATGGAGCTCGTGACGAGGAGGGAGGTATTGGTTACAAGCACATAATTTGGATCTTTGTTGATGTATCCAGACAGTATGTGAATCATGGGTGTGTGCAGACCGACAACGTCTTGGAGGGGAATTGGCAGGTATTGCCGGTAGTTGCTGTTAGGGATGCTATAGTTGCCTTCGCCTACCCAACCTCCCGAAGAGATCTGGAAGGTCAAGAAAGGATTATTTTTGCGCAAAGTGTTGGAGTCCATTGTTATAGACCACTTGCATTTTGTACGAGGGTTTCGCGATCTGGCCGTAGTATGCCTGAACATCAAGTATTTCACGTGGCGAGTGTCCCAAGAGGCCGTCCGATGGGTCGAGACCTCGAGTGAAGCCGCCCAGAACTGGTCGGTTGAGGCATTCAGTCCGCCATCGTAAACTGGACTATAGCAAAGATGTAGGAATTACCCTGCGTCACAAGGACGTTCGAATCATCTCCGTAGTCACCCCCGTACCAACATGACCGGAAAATAGAGGCCATCAAAGCGCTCGGGGATCGTCAACATCGCCCACTTGGGTGCACTGCCAGGAAGGAGCGATGAAATGGATCTCGTAGGTGCAGTTCGGTCCCCAAGGGAACATCCAGCCAAGTTGGCGACTCTTTTCCGATACTCAGGCCGTGAGTCCGTCTCTGGTCACCTATGGATGGAAGTAAAAGCCCGGACCTTCAGGGACGATTAGAGAACAAGCTTCAGGAGGAACGCTGAAGTCCCAATTGACGTCGCAATCCAAGGTCGGTACGGCGCAGCTTTCCTCAGTGGAGCTGACCACGGAGATTCCCACAGTGAGTGCCATCGGAGCCACGAGGGCTGTAAGAGGCATGAGCCGGACACAAGCTGCTATGAGGCCTGTACCTGCAACTGATAGACATAGCGAAAGAGATGGGGCACTTAACAGTGAGCTTCCGGGGGGGAACGATTGCCAAAACTGTGATTCCATTTCTGCTATGTCGAAGTGTGAACCACACGCGTTGAGCCAAAGCAAGTGCTATGCTGGCTGCCAAGGATGACTTCAAAACGAAGACCAGGGCGAGAGAGTAGCGAAGGGCCCAGGTTTGGTCTCAGACTGGATTCA